TGGACACTTGATAATTTTAGCTCACCTCGAGATTGTCGCTTGTCCGTTTCCAAGCCGGAACAAACGAGATATTATTGCTACAGTACCCCCGTCTTCATCCAGCGTCTTATCTTTTAAGAGTGCGTTGTTTTTCGGCGTGCACAACAATCTTTTCATCTCGCGACAGACCCTTACGCTTACGTACCGCTTCGATGTATCGTCTCACGTAGTTGTGTTCGTAGACGCGTTCGCCAAAGTCCTCTCGCTCCAACTCTGTCTGCGGCTGGAAGAACGGGTCCATGTCAATGATACTCCAGTGTGAGAAGATGAGTTGTGGGTTACTAGCAGCTCCTGACGTCTGGATCAACAGGTCGGTGGCAAAGCCGAAGCTTTCCACGACTGGCAAGTGAGCTTTCACAGTGAATAGCGCTGTCCCATCGGACAACTCTTCCGAGTAGATATCGCCTCGTCGCTTCGAGATGACACTGTACAACTTGCCGAGCTGCTCGGCTTGACACTGCACTGTGCACTCATACACGGCCTCTACTAACCGCACAGGCTGCTTCACAAAGGACATGAGGCAAGTGGTCCGCATAGTGGAGATTACCTGTCCGCTAAGCGGTCCGTACTTGCTCGCCTCTTCATCTGACACATCGTCGCTTTTCTCATGGAAAACGACGTCTTCAACGATGAACGCGACGCCCCATACCGGTTCATCACACAAAGGTCCAGCCGAGGAGGCCATCTGGAAGCCCGTCACGATGCTGTTCTCCAGTTTCCGGATCTGCTCTGCTTTCTCTGAGTCTTCAACTTGTGTTGCGTTCGACGGGAATAGGCAGCCAGTCGAATGGTATCCTGGAATGTTGTTGATCAACATGTTTGGACCTACTCGTCGAGGGCCACAGCTCCAAATCTGGTGCATTGGTAGCGACTTTAACAAGCTGTGGTCACTCAATTGGAGCGATTTCTCCAATTTTTTCTGGAAAGCCGCGATATCCTGTGCAGCAGCTTCCAATTCCAGGTCAAATTCCTTGGTTTCTGTCTCGTCTGTGGATTTCTTGGTGTGTGTGATAAGTTTCAACAGTGGCGCATTTCTTCCAATAGCTTTGCAGTGTCAGAAGGCAATGGGAGTGCACGCAGCTTTAGAGGTCAGCGTGCCATCTCGGAGTTGTTCCCAACGCACGGTTCGGATCCTGGCGTATCAGCCGTAGTGGCTCGTCTTTATCAAGA